GGGGGGGGCGTTCGTTGATCTAAATGTGCGCTTCAAAATTCGCTGGAAATCATGAGGTAAGACCACCAAATTTTCACCGCAAACGAATATTAGTGCGAATTTCGTCATGTAGCGGTGTTTGAAATTCACCGCCCAAGTCCTCACTGAGCCAGCGCAGGATAGACATGCAACATTACAACACAAATGATTTTTGCAAAAAAAAAAAATGCAATTCTCATCTTCATTTGGCATATCAATTCGGACTTAAACTACAGCAGAACGCAAGCGACCTCAGTAATCAGTCAAAAAGTAAACATATATGGCATGTTTACATTTTGATTGATTACTTGATTTTTTGCATAACCTTACACAATATGTTTACCTTTTTATTGATTACTTTGTTACTAGCAAGATTCCAGCACAACCTTACACGATATGTTTACCTTTTTATTGATTACTTTTCTACTTGCAAGATCCAGCACAACCTTACACGATACGTTTACCTTTTTATTGATTACTTTGCTACTTCTCAGCACAACCTTACACGATGTGTTTACCTTTTTATTGATTACTTCGTTACAGGTTAAACTGTCCTAACCGGTACCTAATAAACCCGATATATTCCTATATATAATATCAATGCAATCCATCGCCGTGGTGGTTAGTGAATTGTACAGAGTATAGCTGACATCTGTCGAATACTAAAATTGATCCTGATCTGATAGCAATTAGTGAGCCAGGAGCATGACAGATTGAGCGCGGTATGCAACTGTAATTCTACGCGTCAATCGAGGAAGAGGGCGACGTGAGATGGCATATCCGAGGACATGAACGAACGTTAACGCATCGAATTAGTGTAGCTTTGCGTTAATAGTCGTTTTACTGCCAAGTACCTAAATCAATATAGCGCTGTAGTATAATATTATGAAAGCGAGATCGTATCTGGATTAGTGGATGTATCGAAAACGACGACGACGACAACAACAACATCATCGCGGGCCAGGTGCATACCAACGCATCATATATTAATAGACAGAAACCAGAAATTAACTTGTTTTCTATGTCAATGCGATTACGTATGATGTTCCCTCCGCAGCTCGACACCTCGTAAAATCCATGCGAATGTGACAAAAAATAAATGGATTCGCTTGATCGTTGTAATGCATGAAACTGTGTGTAAAACACAACACACGGGCATGAATAAATCCTAGTTGGTGTACGTTTACTTCGTACCGAACCACTACCAGTAAGTACGAAGGTCGCAGCATTCGTAACGAATGTGAATATTTTGTGTGTAATACCATAGCTTCTTCAAACGAAGCACGACTTTGAGTTGTATGACTCCTATGCATCTGACCACTAACCACGATTGATGAACATGAAGTTCCATGCTCAGTTATCTGAAAGTAACCTTTCTCAACAAAGAGAATTAGACACACCAAAACCGAGCTATGCG